GTCCACTTTTACAATGTCCTATATTCCTATGTCCAAAATTTTGTGTCCAATATTTTATGGCCAGTTTGTCCACATTTTATTTATTCCACACATCACATCTTTGTCATTTCTTATTCTTCTTCGTCGCTGTCGTCTGGAAGAACAGCTGTGTTCACTTTTAGGCGGTACGAGATGCCCCTCAGGTACTCGCCCAGGCGCCCCTCCCTGATGTACAACTCGTACTGGTCGACCATCCGCTCGATCATGCCGTGGTTCCGCTTCTGGATGGCTGGCAGCGGATCTTTGATCCTGTGGCCGCCTGAAATCATAAAGTACCAAAACATATAACACTAGATATACGCCGGAAATTCGCGAACAAATCTTTTGCCCTCACTTACCAAGAAGCTGATTCCGCTTGAGCTCCTGGTCGTGCTGCTCTTTCTGCAACTCTCCCAGGAAGCGCCACAGGTTTAAGTGGTGCGCCACCACCATGCGTTGGAAGTGGCCGTGCCACCCCTCGACATTGTTGTTTGTGCGCTGCTGGCCGTCCCGCACCAAGTCGTAGACGTTCCACGTCGGAGGCGGGAACCGGGGAGCAACGGGGGCAGGAGGAGCTCTTCTGCGAGTAGCTCTTCGTGGGGGAGCTTCCCCGCGTATGTAGGTCTTCTCCAAGTGTTTGACAACTGGTTCCATGTCCCGATGCATATCTCTGTTAATTTCTTCGAAACGGATCTCAACGTCCGCGATAGGGACAAAGGCCAGGCCAAGCAGCTCCCGGAAGTTGTCGCGGATAGTGGAGTCGTCTCGGTCAACGAAGGCATCGCGCAGACCTGAACTGGCAAGCTTTCTCCACATAGACTGTGAGAAGTGAAATAGGCACCCCTTGATTTGGGCGTTGGGGAAAATGGCCTTCGCAGCATTCATCGCAGCCAGCTCGTAGTCTTGCATGACGATGGTTGGATGCAGACGGAAGTGGAACTGCTCACACAGGCGGACGAGCTCCGAGTACATCCTCCGGTACGTGTCTTCATTTTTGCGTACCGTCAGACAGAAGACGAGGGGGACAACATGGCCGTGGAATTCTCCATGGATGCTGTACATTTGCAGGAACATATTCGGTACAGTTTTGAAAGTACCGTCAGCGAAGAGTATCGCGCTCATGCACAGTATTCTTAGATTTTCTCTTGTGGTAAAAATCAAAATCCTGTCCTCGTCGCCCGGCCCACTGTCGAACTGCAAGAACCGCTCGCCAGCTGTCGTCGTGGTATACGGCTCCACGATGACGATGTCCACAAGGTTGCTCGGCATCACGGGGCGTGCGGCGTTTTGTGCACGGTTCACCAACCGCCGAAGAGTAGGACGCTCTGGTAGTCCTAGCTGCACCTCCGGATCGACGACATGGCGAAGTCCCGCCCGAATGATGGTCTCGGGGGCAACGCCAGGCTCCTCTAGTGCACGGCGCTTGATGGCGCTCACCACCGTACGCACCTGCGACACAGACCGTAGGGCAACGCATTAAATTAATACAAATTACGATACAATGACAATTACGGCATTGAATTCTTAAGACTTGACACTTACCTCCACCGCAGCTTCGTCCGGCTGGTGCTGGTGTTGCGCCGTCCCATCAGTCAACACCTGAAGGGGCACCACGAAGTTGGTCGTGATGCGAGCGTTGCACACGGCGCGGAGCTCGCACCGCCAGTACTTTCTTGTCCTTTTCGGGTTCGAACTGTGGTAGTGGTACACGTATCCCTTATACCCTACACAGTCGCGCCCTCTCTTAGTCTTGTGCATGGTGAGCTCATGCTCTTCGGGCTCCATCATGGTGTATGAGTGAGCGAGTGAGGGTGGTGAGGGTCTCCTTCCCTCCTTTTATTTCCTAGCTACTCCCAACAATGCAAGTCGCGCCCTCCACCACCTCTCCCCGCCCCACCGGCACCGCAAAGTACTTCAAACAAGGACCAAAACAGGAAAAATAATATTTTGGACTGAGGTTACTCTGGACGCA